CACTATGGTCGACCTAGTTTTACGTTGATTTCATTTTTTTGCCCCTCTCTAAGGTGATTCGGTTGGTGCAATCATTTTTTTGTTGCGACAATTACTAGCTTGTCCCTTGAAAGAATAAATCTGCATGTAGGTCCTCTAAAATTCTCACATAGGTGCCTTCAAAGAATTGCACCAATACTAAGCCTTATCCCATATTTACTTTTCCTAAGTATGCAAAATGTATAAAAATGTAGCAAAAAATATATAAAGTTTAACGAAAATGTGTCAAAAAGATCAAGAGTTTTTAGAGTTTAATGTGTCCCTTCGTCTTTACTTATAAGACCTAATTTTTAGAACTGGAATCTTTAATTACAAGTCACATTGCAAAGGTCGACAAGTAATTAATTTTTTTTTTAAATGCTTCTTATGAATGACTAAAATTACATGTTCCCTCTATAGCTTAATAAATGTTCATTTAATTGAAGCTAAAAATGATACCATTTAATTAATTAAGAGCAAACAAATTTTTAGGCATAAACTAAACATAGCTATTTTTCATATTTATATTTAAAAAATTAAATCTTATGATTAATCACTGAGTGAGTACTAGTACATCTTGATCTCTTCATGCCAGGATGTCTTGTCTTCCGCCTACCTTTGTCTTTGTCCTTCCACCCGAATAATTTGCCCATTGTTTAACTTTTTAATTAGGTTGACTTACGGTGAAGTTTCACATAAGAAATTAGTTAGTATAAGATCCATTAACAATTGAAATAAGGCCATTGTTTTGTCAATGATCTTATTTCAATTATTTATGGACTTTGTAGCAATTAATTTTCTCATATAGGATTTGTATGTAACTTTTCTTTTTTTAAAAAAACATCATTTATTTTTTAAAAAAGATTATGTTTGTGATATTTTTTACATTTGTTTAAAATATTAAAAATAATCAAAATATAAAAAACAACATATTTTTATTATTTTAATATGTTACTCAAAATAATGAATGCCGTATATAAGGGAGACTGTCATAAAAATAGAGATATATAAAATATCACAAAATTTTAAAATAATTAAATAATAAAATTTTTTATGAAAAAATCAATAAAAATCATAAAATTTAAAAATAACAAGCTAATAATCACTTTTTTATTTTTTTAATCAAATATAAAATAATATCTATTTTCAATAATGGTTTAAGATAATTCTCCAAATGATTGAACAATAAAGTGTAAATAAAAATTGGATGCATTAAAAAATATATAATTAAATTTGATTTACTTCATTCAAAGAACATCAAAGACTTTTTGTACACGGAATACCCCAGGCACATTTCATTAGCACACCCACCATAGGAGGTGAAAATAGGCAGGTCCTTAATAAAGGCCTACAGCTTAGTTTACGTTAGGTCTGGCATAGCCTACTTACTAAATAGGCTAGGCTAAGCTCAGGCCTTCAATAAGCCTATTTAATTAAATAGGCTAAGCCTTTTTTTTAAGGTCTAGCTTATAAGCTGAACAAGCCAGCCTATATATATATATATATTATTTACTATATCATAAACACATTAGTTCACCATGTGATTTTAATCAATTTATTCTTTACTACTTCTAGTTATATTTTCAATCATATTTGAATTATATATTAATTATAATATATCACTTTATTATTATATTATGTTATAGCTAGTAAGTCCTTTCAATTCTTATATATTATAATTGATAAATTAGGTTTATATATTGTATATTATAATAGCCTAAGTATGTCTAAGATGTTTAAAATTAAAATAAAGCCTATTTAAAAGGCTTTAATTTAAGTAGGCTTATAAATAGTCTTGCAAGCTAGGCCAAGCTTTAACTAGGCTCAGGCCTAAGCCATAAAAAAAGCTGATATAGGCTTCAGATCAAACTCAAGCATCTAATTTATCATACAGGCTCAGGCTTATTTGACCAAAGCCTAACTCGGCCCAGCCTATTATCACCCGTACCTACCATCAATCACAAAAAAATCAATTACCAACTTAATCAAAAATTCAATCTCATAATATATAGCGATTAGGACATGCAGTTCTTCTTTTCTTCCATTTATCAAAATTCCAAGCTGCGGGGACCGGTCAGAACGTTATCTCCTCTGGTTCATCAGAATTTAATTTAGAAAATACTTTAAAATCTTTTGATTTAATAGTCAAGTTTTATTTTACAAATTTCCTGTTTTACCCCTTAGATTTACAAGCAAATTAGTAAATTTACAATTTATCGAAGAATACTAATGTTTACTTGTAAATCCGAGAAATTGACCTCTGTGAGGTGTTAATTTGCTAATTTATGAAATTGACTGGTAAATCAAAATATTTTCAAGGGCAATTTACAACCTCGTTATGATTTTTTAATTTACGATTCTCTTAGTTATTTTTAATTAATGAAGTATCATCTTTATTTATGTTAACATATGATTATATTTTATAACAAGTATGTTGCCAAGTTTACAAATTTTGCATAGAAAATATAACAATTCTTCTAAGAAAAATTATCATTAAAGTATAAATATTTTTCATCTAAACCTTGGGGATCATTAAACATTTAACAACTAAATTGTGACATATATTTTTATAAAATTTTTAACCTATATTTATTAGTAATTGCATTCTATATCCTTCTGTTTGGTCCATTTTTAAATTGTCATGCCCCTTGTGTATGTCAAGTATTGCTTCCAGAAGTGTACGGATTGATATACTAATAATTTTCAGAATATTCCAGGAGTTGACCCAAAGGAAAACAATAACTTTGTTATTTAAAAGAATCAATAAATTTAAAAGATGTAAATAAATAAAATAATAAAGCTGATGAACCAATCAATCAGACAGAGCTAGGGATCAAGATTCACCTTTTGGGATGATTTACTCTAATTTAGTTACCCTTTATTTATAGTGACAACCATTACCAAATCATAATTACCTCAGTATATTAGGATATATTATCTAAGGTTGAATTAGCTCTTACTAATCTTATTGATGGAGGCCTTAAACAAACCACCTAGTTCAGCTATCTGTGTCTATCTCTCTATGATTAAGTTAATTCTTCACCTCTCAATTCTATAAATAATTCACAGATGGATTATATAGTGGTCATTAATTAAAACAAGAAAATAAATATAAGTGAAAATGAAAATTCTCATAGACAAGAAATTAAGTTCAATGTGACATCAAATTAAAAGAGGAAAAGCCATCTCAGCCAATAAGTAACTCCCTACCCTAATCAATAATTTAGAAGCAACTCATAGAGTTC